TATTGGTATAACACTATGGTTGAATATCGCAACGTTTTACACGCCATACTCGACACGTTACCAGATAGATATTAGTCAATTTGTCAACCGGAACTTGGCCGCGCGCCGTGGCCAAGTGGTTAAGGCGTCTGCTACCAAGTGCACTAGCCCTCCACCACTGGGTCGCAGGTTCGAAGCCTACGTGGGGCAGTCGCCAGGTACTGGCCGTAGGTTTTACTCCGTGAACTTTGGCTTTTCCTCCACCACCAAACCCTGGCACGTCCTTAATGGCCATAGCTGTTGATAGGACGTCATCCAGAACTTGTTTGACGGCCTATCTTTCACGATGTAAACGTCTTTCGACTCGACTTTGAAGTCGGCGATTAATCGATAAGTTTCTGATAATCTGTCGGTTGTTAAATTACCAACTGTGTAAAACACGCTCTTCTCTCTCTTAATTTACCCCCAGAAACTACCGAGTTCCATTTCAGACCTTTTTAAGCCCACATTTTGCAACGTAATCCCTTCCATTTTTAAAAGTTATTAAAGGGATGTTATTCGTATTTATTGCGTAAACAATATGCCACGTAAACAATGCATATCAACATCACATCAACAGTACATTGTGTCTGTAACGGCAACATTACATTATGAACATGACCGGGTCAACAGGGTAAGAGAAACAGAACCATTTACCCCCTTGAGGAGAGATTGGGAATCTAAACTCTCTGTGGAAAATTCTCAAGTTGATAAACATTCGGTCCATGTTAGACGTTCCCGTCTCTTGACCACACTGAAATATTCTTCATTGATTTGTTTAGGTTGTGGTTTCTCCTCAATTTGGTGATAGTTGGTAGTTTGTGGTCCTCAGAGGTTTCGTTTTCCAACTGTAACCCTGACATTGTTCATTAATACATGTGTATTATACATGTCCCTTACTTTATTATTTACAGTTTAAAAAGAGAGTTCCTTTACATTAATATTTCTCTTTCTCTATCATCACTTTTCCTGTAAGTTTACTCACATACAGGTTGGGTTGAACTTAATTGGCCAGTTTGACTGGTTATCTGTTTCACGGTTAATAAGTTCCTCTGGTGGGCTTTTCCAGTTTACATGTTAGACAAACATATACATTACTTGTAAAAGAAAATATCCCGGACTTATATTTCAATTCCATGTTCATACCAATGCATAAGTGATGCTATTGTACCAAATCACATTATTGTAATAAGTTAACATAAATCAATTACAGAATAAGACTCGTACCAGATATGGAAAAAATACTTGAAATATCTGGATATAAATTAAACATATCTACATCCAGCCTATAGCTCTCTCTGTATATAAATGAATGTTAAACCGCACCAAAACAAGCAACAAAGACAAATGAACTGACCACTGACCAAAACGAGGCAACAAGTACAATAAGAAGAATCACGACTTATACGGAAACGACAAAGTAAGAAAGATGTGACATGTGACAACAGACTCACGTGTACAGGAACAAGACGTGTGGATGACACAGTGATCGCACTCAGCACACCCATATATACCACAAGCAGTGCGACAAACACAGCACATCATCTACAAGCAGTGCGACAAACACAGTACACCATCCGCAAGCAGTGCGACAAACACAGCACACCGTCCGCAAGCAGTGCGACAAACACAGCACACCATCTACAAACAGCGCGACAAACACAGCACACCATCTACAAGCAGTGTGACAAGCACAGCACACCATCCGCAAGCAGTGCGACAAACACAGCACATCATCCGCAAGCAGTGCGACAAACACAGCCCACCATCTACAAGCAGTGCGACAAACACAGCCCACCATCTACAAGCAGTGCGACAAACACAGCACCCCATCCGCAAGCAGTGCGACAAACACAGCACCCCATCTACAAGCAGTGCGACAAACACAGCACATCATCTACAAACAGAGCGACAAACACAGCACATCATCCACAAGCAGCGCGACAAACAGCACATCATCTGCAAGCAGTGCAACAAACACAGCACATCATCCACAAGCAGTGCGACAAACAGCACATCATCTGCAAGCAGGGCAACAAACACAGCACATCAGCTACAAGCAGTGCGACAAACACAGCACACCATCCGCAAGCAGTGCGACAAACACAGCACATCATCTACAAACAGCGCGACAAACACAGCACATCATCCGCAAGCAGTGCGACAAACACAGCAAATCATCTGCAAGCAATGCGACAAACACAGACACCATCTACAAGCAGTGCGACAAACACAGCACCCCATCCGCAAGCAGTGCGACAAACACAGCAAATCATCTGCAAGCAATGCGACAAACACAGACACCATCTACAAGCAGTGCGACAAACACACCACACAATCTGCAAGCAGTGCGACAAACACAGCACACCAACCGCAAGCAGTGCGACAAACACAGCACATCATCTGCAAGCAATGCGACAAACACAGCACACCATCTACAAACAGCGCGACAAACACAGCACACCATCTGCTGCGACAAACACAGCACACCATCTGCTGCGACAAACGGAGCACATCAATATATTTCAATAAAAGAATTATCACAGTTATCTTCTTACTAGCTTTTTTTGTATTGAACTTCAACTGGCGAAGGCGAGCTTGCTTCGTAATGATGGACCAGATGTTGATTAAATGTAAGATGACATACCTCACACCGGGTACTCTGACCGCTATGGCAGGAGTTATCTGGGTGGTGCGGAACAAAACAAAACAAAAACCAACTAAAACTGCGGTAGAGTTCGGCCAAGGAGTAAGCTCCGGCACGGTAGGCAGTTATTAGCGTCAGGACGGTTGGTACGGAGTTATATTATTTTTTAAAGCTGGAAATGAAATATTGTATTATATATATCACTGTTTCAGAATGTTTTGCTATAGTGTCTTGACGGAAAACAGGAGTAACAAGGAACGACTTCCAGTGCTTCTAGACGCTCATTTAATTATTGTCGAGCATTGCGTACTTAAGGTATAGAAGAACACTAGAGGCAAAAACATTTAGTCAAAGATTTTTTTTTATTTCGCATATATTTTTCTTTGGGGTGTACCTAACAAAATATCAAAATTTGAGAATAAGTTTCCAGGCTATTTTTTGAAATATTCTTTGAAAGAGTTACCCCCCTTTGAAGTCGAAAAATGTCATTTTTTTGCCCTTTTTAAGTCATTAAGGTACTCGCCAAAAAAATCTTTTTTTTTTTAATTTATCTGAGAATAATATGATAAATGAATATTTTAAAATATTTTAGACATAATATTTAAAAAATAAATCAAAATGGCTACCCTTTTTTTGCAATATGCCTGCAACTGGCTTAAGTAAAATTTCGCCAAAAAAAATGATTGTAAAGTCGGAAAGAAAAAAAATGTGTCAATGAATTCTTTTTTAAATTGGTAAAATAAAATAACTTTTATCTATGCTACAAATCATAAAATAATAAAGATATGTTTCCAGGGAAAACAAAAAGTTAGGGGGGTTAGAACGACACCCTGTCATACACCCTTTTATGCAGATTTCATGGAAAATGTCCAATTTTTTGTAATATTATTTTATCCTTTCAGGTAACCTTTTTTAGGATTATTCAAGAAGTTGGCATTTGACCTCAAAGCGAAATCATCATTTCATCGGTTAATAATCCTTGATCAATATAGTCTCATCTTTAACAAAAATCAGACATAAGACTTGGAAAGGATACATGTATATCTTAGTTCAATCAACAATAATTATTAAATATAATATTTATTTCACCTTGGTTTTTGACCTCTTGTTAAAAGGATTGTCCAACCAATTTATATATCAGTACAGTATATTGAGTGTTTGGTCATGTGATACCTGTCCGTCTTTTCCTTAATTAAAACGACATCCCAAAATTTAGAGGTAATTAAGTGGTTCGACGTCCTGCAGAGACAGATATTTAATTTTCTTTACTTTTTCTTTCTTTCTTTTTCTATTGTTCATAATTAAAAACCAAGTACCTCAAATCAATTCGTTGTCAACATAGCAGTGTTTTTTAAAATTTATATCAATAATGCTTTACCGAAATCAAAGAATAGGATGTAATATATTGTGTTGGGGATTGTTTTGCTTTTAATTTTTGATGATATGAATAAAATGCGTCTCCGTCTATAGTGGAACCATTTTGTTCTTTGGTTCATTTGATGTGTCCGAGAGACAGCTGAGTATCGAAAGCTACACTTTTTACTTTTAATTTATATTCTAAGTTAGGAGGCACGGTAGTCTAGTGGTAGGACGCCGGGCTCGTGACCAAAGGGTTGCGGGTTCGAGCCACTCACGGCACTTTGAGCAAGATACTTTACTCCGCTTGTTCTAGTCTACTCAGCTGTAAATGAGTACGTGGTTGGGCAGTGCTAGAATTGATGAATGCTAGCTGGTTGCAAGGGCCCTAGCTATAGCCACGGATATTAATTTGTGAACTGCTTTGGGCCGATCGACCAACGCACTAGGTTGTGATAAAGCGTTATATAAGAACCTCGAATTATTATTATCATAATTATTAAGTGCGCTGCTTGAAAAATAGATAAATTAGGTTATGAAATAAAATGAACCAGACAGCTATATTTTCAAATACTGTGGAAAACATATAAAGTTTTAATAGTTACATATTGTTTCGCAGCATAATACTTTTTAGAACATAAAAAAAAAAGTATTCATTCACGATATTTTCATAAACATCGGTTAGATTAGTGCGGCTCAGTTTTTATTGATATAAATGTATTGATTGCAACTTACCTTGTAATTACAAAAGTACAAATAAAACCTATTGTAGTGAAAATAAATATGAATATTAACACATGAAGTTGTTTCCAAAACTATGATTTTCAAGAAGTTGCAGAATTATTTTGCTAAAATACTTTCCGGGTAATACTTACCGTTCCATTTTATATTTAGACACTTCCTTGTAGTCGTCAGCAAAGCGTTTGAATCGCACAAGCAAGACGAGGTTATTGCAATATTAAATTACTACACAGATTTCTGTGTTTTGTTCACCACGTGTTTCATGGTTGGAAAGAAATTTATCGACCTAGGCCTACTGGATGGATATTTCTAGCAATTGCTTTGAATTTCATTGTAAGTGCTCGTACATGAAAATTTGTGAGAGGAAAATAACGCACAATAAACTATCAGTCTCAACAACTGACAGGCGCTCGTCAGCTGTCAGCTACTTATTGGCTAACTGGGAAATACGTTTGCCTGGACCGTTTTCGTTTATCGCAATCCAAACGGTTGGGCCGGTTGAACCACAGTTGTTGGTTGATAAAATAATGCCGGACCTAGTAATCTGATGATGCTGTTTTCAGATGAGCCATGACAAAGCCTTTCAAAAGTTCAAGGCCTGCATAAACGTTTGCAGGTCCACCAGATTCTCCAATAGTGTTAGAGGTTTTACACGGTGTGATACTTTTTGACGGGCGCCGCGTAACCGGCAAAATCATATCCGATAGAAAAAAGGCCGACCAGCGGCCTCTTTTGTTATAGGAGTAGTCCACCAGGATAAAAATATTCCACATAAATGAGCAGGCCCCGGTTTACCACAGGTGCCCCCAAAATGAATAACAGCTTCATAAGAGACTGAGTATGATACCCATATATGATTTTATGAAACGTTATGTGCATGTAGCTTTAAAAGTCCATTTCTATACCTACAAACTTAATAAACTAATCATCCAACGAAGGTCAACAAAGTGAGATTTTTGCTTGGTCATTTGTAAAAATATACATTGTAGCTCATACTTTTCAAGTTTCGTCCTTTACCACGCATGCTCCTTGGAATATACCCAATTACAAGTCCCCCATCGGTAAGAACTTGGATGAAACTTTATGCTGGTGTAAAAAATGTACATTGATTAAGTTGCCTTACAAGCGTCAGTTGTGGGGAATATCCCTTTAGCGTAGTGCTAGAGCATCGTGCTGGAGAGCCAAGGGTTGTGGGTTCAAGCCCCAGCGACGGCACTATCTTTATCACTATTCTTCGTCCTACTACACTGATACTCCTCCATTTACTATTTAATTTGGATTTGAAGAAATTCAATATTTCTGCATTCACCAGGCCTCACGTAGCAAAAACAATCAAAATTTTAATTGACCGCCATGATGGAAACTTGGTCTCTCTATCAATATGTTGGTCAGGCGTCATATATATACACTTTGTGGTGCCAACAACATGTTGTACCTCATTTTTCCTAATATGGATGTTATCTTTGACTTTGTAGATTAGCATGGACACAGATATCGCTGAGCAGAGGCTGGAGAGCCTGGACTTTCGTTTCTATTTACAGTCCGAGATCCGTAGTCTTAGTGTGAAGGAAATTACTAATTCTCAGACATTTGATTCACTTGCCCATCCATGTTCGGGTGGACTCTACGATTCTGCTCTGGGTAAGTACAAGCTAGCTTTTCAACCTTAAATACTACCTAAAAATATAGGATTGCTTGAGAGCTAGATCTAGACGTAAATAGATATCTGTATCAGTGTATGTATACTTTTGTGTTCCTTCCTTTGTTAAAACGCGCCATCATTTAATTATTAGAAGGTATTATTCCCGTTCTTAATATATATATATAGCATGCATCTTGTCACCAGTGTTACAAACTTCTTAGAATGAAATTCTTTAGGAATGGAGATATATGAATACAAGGTAGCATATATTTACTCATTTTAATAAATTTGTCCTATATCAAACTAGGTCATACATGTATGTCAGTGGCGTAGCATACATGTATGCTTGTATACTCAAGCAAACACTAAAATTTTCAAGTTTTTTTTTTTTAATCATACTTTTTTTATTAAAATCTATTTCTATGATTAATATTGACCGTCCAACTCCATATCAATCATTTAAAGGGAAGAATGAAAAACCATCTTCTTGAAAATTTATTTTGACAAAATAGTGTTGTTATGTGTAAACACAGTGAAAAATATCGATTTTTTATGCAGAATTATAACTCAAAAACTACTTAGTGAAGTCCAAATCACACTAAAATGATTTCCGTGAATATGAAAGATTGCTTCTATGGCTTAGTAGAATTTTTTTCCGCATTAAACACCGCATAGTATATATTTTAAAAAGTTTATGTCCGCACTATTTCAAATCATCGGTCACTAAAGTATTTTAGTAACCATCCAGGGCACCCGTCGACAGTAGGCATAGAGCTCATTTGAAGTTAAATGTACAGCTGTTGAATGTACTGTTTACCAAAACACCTGCAGATGTAAATGATGATAAGTTGGTGGATGAAGTGCCCTGTGTCGTTACAGTTGGTAGAATTATGTACAGAACAAACATCAAGAATGTAAATATATCCCCGTGAAACTAAACAAGTGAATTTTGTATACAGTACAAAGTACACTACAGAGAACAAAATAATTGATCCAATTTAATATTTAATTGTAGAGCTAGAAATAATGTTATGTACATACATGTATAAATAATATTTTTACATCCATATGTTTTACTGTTTCAGGACCGACAGATAGAGATGATGTTTGTGGAACATGTGGACAGAATTTTGTCCACTGCCCTGGACATATGGGTCATATAGTACTGCCCCTTCCTGTTTACAACCCTGTCTACTTCTCCACCCTCTACCAGGTGAGGTTAGGGGTTAATAAATACTGGTCTGTTAGAGGTTAAAGGTGACACTGGACATATGGGTCATATAGTACTGTCCCTTCCTGTTTACAACCCTGTCTACTTCTCCACCCTCTACCAGGTGAGGCTAGAGGTTAATAAATACTGGTCTGTTAGAGGTTAAAGGTGACACTGGACATATGGGTCATATAGTACTGCCCCTTCCTGTTTACAACCCTGTCTACTTCTCCACTCTCTACCAGGTGAGGCTAGAGGATAATAAATACTGGTCTGTTAGAGGTTAAAGGTGACACTGGACATATGGGTCATATAGTACTGCCCCTTCCTGTTTACAACCCTGTCTACTTCTCCACTCTCTACCAGGTGAGGCTAGAGGATAATAAATACTGGTCTGTTAGAGGTTAAAGGTGACACTGGACATATGGGTCATATAGTACTGCCCCTTCCTGTTTACAACCCTGTCTACTTCTCCACTCTCTACCAGGTGAGGCTAGAGGATAATAAATACTGGTCTGTTAGAGGTTAAAGGTGACACTGGACATATGGGTCATATAGTACTGCCCCTTCCTGTTTACAACCCTGTCTACTTCTCCACTCTCTACCAGGTGAGGCTAGAGGATAATAAATACTGGTCTGTTAGAGGTTAAAGGTGACACTGGACATATGGGTCATATAGTACTGCCCCTTCCTGTTTACAACCCTGTCTACTTCTCCACTCTCTACCAGGTGAGGCTAGAGGTTAATAAATACTGGTCTGTTAGAGGTTAAAGGTGACACTGGACATATGGGTCATATAGTACTGCCCCTTCCTGTTTACAACCCTGTCTACTTCTCCACTCTCTACCAGGTGAGGCTAGAGGTTAATAAATACTGGTCTGTTAGAGGTTAAAGGTGACACTGGACATATGGGTCATATAGTACTGCCCCTTCCTGTTTACAACCCTGTCTACTTCTCCACTCTCTACCAGGTGAGGCTAGAGGTTAATAAATACTGGTCTGTTAGAGGTTAAAGGTGACACTGGACATATGGGTCATATAGTACTGCCCCTTCCTGTTTACAACCCTGTCTACTTCTCCACTCTCTACCAGGTGAGGCTAGAGGTTAATAAATACTGGTCTGTTAGAGGTTAAAGGTGACACTGGACATATGGGTCATATAGTACTGCCCCTTCCTGTTTACAACCCTGTCTACTTCTCCACTCTCTACCAGGTGAGGCTAGAGGTTAATAAATACTGGTCTGTTAGAGGTTAAAGGTGACACTGGACATATGGGTCATATAGTACTGCCCCTTCCTGTTTACAACCCTGTCTACTTCTCCACTCTCTACCAGGTGAGGCTAGAGGTTAATAAATACTGGTCTGTTAGAGGTTAAAGGTGACACTGGACATATGGGTCATATAGTACTGCCCCTTCCTGTTTACAACCCTGTCTACTTCTCCACTCTCTACCAGGTGAGGCTAGAGGTTAATAAATACTGGTCTGTTAGAGGTTAAAGGTGACACTGGACATATGGGTCATATAGTACTGCCCCTTCCTGTTTACAACCCTGTCTACTTCTCCACTCTCTACCAGGTGAGGCTAGAGGTTAATAAATACTGGTCTGTTAGAGGTTAAAGGTGACACTGGACATATGGGTCATATAGTACTGCCCCTTCCTGTTTACAACCCTGTCTACTTCTCCACTCTGTACCAGGTGAGGTTAAAGGTCAATAAATACTGGTCTGTTAGAGGTTTAAGGTGACACTGGACATATGGGTCATATAGTAATGCCCCTTCCTGTTTACAACCCTGTCGACTTCTCCACTCTCTACCAGGTGAGGCTAGAGGATAATAAATACTGGTCTGTTAGAGGTTAAAGGTCATTAAATGTTAGTCTGTTAGGGGTTAATAAATACTGGTCTGTTAGAGGTTAAAGGTCATTAAATGTTAGTCTGTTAGGGGTTAATAAATACTGGTCTGTTAGAGGTTAAAGGTGACACTGGACATATGGGTCATATGGTAATGCCCCTTCCTGTTTACAACCCTGTCGACTTCTCCACTCTCTACCAGGTGAGGCTAGAAGTTAATAAATACTGGTCTGTTAGAGGTTAAAGGTCATTAAATGTTAGTCTGGTAAAGGTTAAAGGTCACTGAATGTTAATTCTGGTAGAGGTTAAAGGTCACTAAATATTAGTCTAGGATATTGCTTAATGTAGGGTTTATGCCGGGTGTTTATAGGGTCCAGTACAGGGACCCATTCCCAATTGAGAAATTACCCTGCATTTTCCCAATTTCAGTCTTTATTTTCCCAATTGGATTAAAAAGCATGTTTATACAAGTTTCCAGTCATTTTATGTGCAACGTTCAAAGTAATACTGTCAATGATGGAGCAATACAAATTCATAAATAATGAACATTTGAAATTGAATAAACAAAAACCCTGAAAATTAATATGTATTTATTCCAAACTTATGATAAATTCCCAAACCTGTACATGTGGGAACACTGATGATATTTCCCAATTTTTGCCAAATGCCAATGATATTGATAAATGTCAGTTGTATGCAATTTAACGTCAACTTGGCCATTATATAAGGGACAGGTCCCCTTGAGCCAGGTCTTGCAGTTTCTTCATAATATTTTTGGGAATATGTGAAAATATGAACACATTTGTTCATAGTCAACATAATAAAACATGAAAAATATTCCGTAATTTCCGACAACAAGGTTTTCATGTTTGCTATTTTGACAGAATTTAGCATATTAACTTTGATAATGCAGGTTCTACGTGGCTCGTGCTTCAACTGTCATCGTCTGACTGTCTCTACGCTGTCCACAATTTTGTTTGTGAAGAAGATGGACCTCTTGAACCACGGCCTTCTAGCAGCTGCTGGAGACCTGGAGGATTTTGTAGCCAACCAAACGGAACAATTCGGGAAAAACGCTGCTGCTGAGGAAGTGATTAACAGTAATATTGAAACGAAAGTGGAGGCGTGGCTAGCAGGTAATGTACATATCAGGTGTCATGATATCAGGCATACAGCATGAGAAAGTTATTGAAGCCCAGACAAGGCATTGCTCATTTCTGTATTTCGAAATTCACTATCATTAAAATATTTGGAAATGCTGATGTTTTTATATAGATTCTAACAGCATTTATCATAATCTCTACGGGTGATACATTTCGAAAGTATAGAGTGAAACACAGCAGCATTTACCATCATAGCCTCAAGGGATGATAATATTCCATTCTACATGGTGCAATGCAGTACAATATGCTTTCCATGTAGCCAACATCTATTGATCAAAATTAATATTTTCCTTTCATTCAAATTAAGAACAAGTGTTTTTAGGCAGAATTTTTTGGGAATTCAACAGAGTTATATTTTTAACAAGATATATCAGAATAGTAGTAAGTTGTAAGTCACCCACTGTTTAAGTTTGATATGTTTTCTTCCATTGCAGAAACTGGAAAACTGGAAGAAATTGCTTCTGTTAAAAATGTTGAAGCCTTCAAGAACTCGGAAATCACTAATTTTATTCGCAGCAAGTTGATGCTGACTTCAATTGCTTGCCCTCATTGTAAAACTAAGAAGAGACCAATCAAACAGGAAAACAATGTCAAGTTCCTGCTAGCTGGGAAAAAGGCTGCGAAACAAAAGTAAGTTACACAGATGTAAATACATCTTTAGAATTAAAGTTTGCCTGAAAAGTTTTTGTAAGAATACACCTTGGAGTCTAACGTATACAGAGAAGTTGTTTCTGCAGTTTAACTTTTCCCTTTTCGCCCTTCATAGTGGGATCAAATTTATCCTGACAGTGAATATTAATACACAGCATTACTACATTAAGTCATTACACGTGAAAGGCAAATTTAGTGCGGGTAAAGATGGGTTTTTTTTACCGTGAAGGGCAAAAGATTCCTGCAGGTATACGGTATACATTGTATTACGTTCATAACAGTAGATAGAAAATGTGCAGTTTTGGTTTAGTTCTGAAAGTTTGAAAAAATATACACATAGATGTATTTTAAGCTTAAACAAATCAATACAAGTTACGATTCAGTATGTTGTGATTATATATATAAATTTAAGTCCCCCCTACCTGGGTACTTACAAAAAACAGAAAAGTCTGTATATTAATACTTTATAATGGAGCACACAAAATATGATATAATGTGAACTGATGAATTATGAATTTCTTTTTTAATTTGAAGCTTCTTGAAATAATATCAATGAAACACATTAGATAAAAAGTTGTCAGACTGAAAATACTGTATAGAAAACCTGCAGGAGTCTTAAAATAATGTACCAGGAGTTTAATGACCTTTGCCCTCCTGTTATGGAGGACGCAGATACACATACCTTGACATAGGTTTTTAAATTCATTTCATTGTTTATACATATATATCAAAGAAACACAGAACAAAGATATAGTGTTAATGATCTTTAAGAAAATTTCAGATTCAATCAAAGGTCGTTTCGTTTAAATTGTTAATATTTTTATTTTCATTTTTGTTTCATCTCTTTCGAGATTTGTAAAGTACTTTTAGAAAGTTAGAAAAAGAATTAAAAAAATGGGAATTTACCATAACTCGATTAAGAATTTTATTTTGAAAACAAAAATGCCAAATTACAGGATTGCAGTTAAAAAGAAGTCCATGGAAGATACGGAATCTAAAAAAGATGACGAGGATAGCTTGATGGAAATGCCAGATATGGAGACCACACTGCCAGAAGAGGAGGCGGAAGAGGACCAGACCACTGTCACATTTGACAGCGCAGAGCAGACGTACATATCCCCTAGCCAGACCCACGATCATCTGCAACTGTTGTGGAAAAAGGATGGAGTCATCCTGAAGTACCTTTTTCACTCCTTAGCCAAGGTTGTCGATGACTCGCCTGACATTTTCTTCCTGCAGGTCATCCCTGTACCCCCGTCAAGATTTAGGCCGGTAAGTTTGGAGTAACTTCAGCTCAATACTTGCTACTCGTCAACATTTTATATTCATCACTTTGGTTTTTAGATAAATGATTATATTCCTTCAATACAATGTATATATGCAAGTCTGGAGTTACATCCCATTAGCACTTAATATAATATGCTTGGTTATTTAGTATGAATAAAAAAGCTCTTTGTATGATCACACATTGGTAAAGGAAATATTGTTTGGAAGTTACCTAGTAAGATGCGTTTGTCTCTTGTCCTTTACATCTCTGGGAAGTTACCTAGTAAGATGCGTTTGTCTCTTGTCCTTTACATCTCTGGGAAGTTACCTAGTAAGATGCGTTTGTCTCTTGTCCTTTACATCTCTGGGAAGTTACCTAGTAAGATGCGTTTGTCTCTTGTCCTTTACATCTCTGGGAAGTTACCTAGTAAGATGCGTTTGTCTCTTGTCCTTTACATCTCTGGGAAGTTACCTAGTAAGATGCGTTTGTCTCTTGTCCTTTACATCTCTGGACTTTCTTTTTGGAATACATTACTCCATCTTATTGGGCTTTTTTATTACCATAAATACAATAGAAAGAAATTCTGTTCGTGGAAAACATACCTGTGGGGGGATTATGTAGGGTAGCATTAAAGTTGGGTAGTAGGACACTGGAATTTAATTTGTAATGATAACATGTATCACAAGCTACTGTAATCATCATGTTATGCTGTTATATAGTACACTATGTTATATAGTACACTATGTTATATAGTACAATATGTTATATAGTACACCGTTATATAGTACACTGTGTTACAGTACACTGTGTTATAGTACAATGTTATATAATACACTGATATATAGTTCACTGTTATAAAGTACACTGTTATATAGTACACCGTTATATAGTACACTGTGTGATAGTATACTGTGTTATAGTACACTGTTATATATTCCACTGATACATAGTACACTGTTATATAGTGCACTGTTAAATAGTACACTGTGTTATATATTACACTATGTTATAGTACACTGTGTTATATAGTACACTGTTACATAGTTCACTGTTATATAGTGCACTGTTATATAGTACACTGATATATAGTGTACTGATATATAGTACACTTATATAGTACACTGATATATAGTGTACTGATATATAGTACACTTTTATATAGTACACTGATATATAGTATACAGATATATAGTACACTGTTATAGTTCACTGTTATTTAGTACGCTGTTATATAGTACACCGTTATATAGTACACTGTGTGATAGTATACTGTGTTATAGTACACTGTTATATACTACACTGTGTTATATAGTACACTGTTCTATAGTACACTGTTATATAGTAGTTATGCTGTTATATAGTACCCTATGTTATATAGTACCCTATGTTATATAGTACCCTGTTATATAGTACACTGTTACATAGTTCACTGTTATATAGTGCACTGTTATATAGTACACTATGTTATATAGTACCCTATGTTATATAGTACCCTGTTATATAGTACACTGTTCTATAGTACACTGTTATATACTACACTGATATATAGTACACTGTGTTAAAGTACACTGTGTTATAGTATACTGTGTTATAGTACACTGTTATATATTACACTGATATATAGTACACTCTTATATAGTACACTGTTATATAATGCACTGATATATAGTACACTTATATAGTACACTGATATATAGTACACTCTTATATAGTACACTGTTATACAGTACACTGTTATATAGTACACCGTATTATATAGTAGAGTGTGATATAATACACTGTTATATAGTATACTGTTATATAGTACACCGTGTTATATAGTACACTGTTATAGAGTACACTGTGTTATAGTACAATGTTATATAATACACTGATATATAGTACACTTTTATATAGTACACTGATATATAGTTCACTGTTATAAAGTACACTGATATATAGTTCACTGTTATAAAGTACACTGATATATAGTATACGGATATATAGTACACTGTTATAAGGTACACTGATATATAGTACACTCTTATATAGTACACTGTTATATAATGCACTGATATATAGTACACTATTATATAGTACACTGTGTTACAGTACACTGTCTTATAGTACACTGTTATATACTACACTGATATATAGTACACTTTTATATAGTACACTGATATATAGTATACTGTTATAAAGTACACCGATATATAGTATACTGATATGTAGTACACTGTTATAAAGTACCCTGATATATAGTATACTGATATATGGTACACTGTTATAAAGTACCCTGTTATATAGTACACTGATATATAGTTCACTGTTATACAGTACACTGTGTTATAGTATACTGTGTTATAGTACACTGTTATATAGTCCTTTACATCTCTGGACTTTCTTTTTGGAATACATTACTCCATCTTATTGGGCTTTTTTATTACCATAAATACAATAGAAAGAAATTCTGTTCGTGGAAAACATACCTGTGGGGGGATTATGTAGGGTAGCATTAAAGTTGGGTAGTAGGACACTGGAATTTAATTTGTAATGATAACACGTATCACAAGCTACTGTAATCATCATGTTATGCTGTTATATAGTACCCTATGTTATATAGTACACTGTTATAGAGTACACTGTGTTATAGTACACTGTTATATAATACACTGTTATTTAGTATACTGTTACATAGTACACTGTTATATAGTACACTGTGTTATAGTACACTGTGCTATAGTATACTGTTATATAGTACACTGTGTTATATAGTGCACTGTTAAATAGTACACTGTGTTATATATTACACTATGTTATAGTACACTGTGTTATAGTACACTGTTATATAGTTCACTGTTATATAGTACACTGTGTTATAGTACACTGTTATATAGTACACTGTTATATAGTACACTGT